CCTCCTGCTCAGCTGGTCTGGCCCTGGCATACCTTCTCCCGTGACTAAGGGACAATGACAGGGTCTGGGGCACCTGCCCTCTAACCAGGACCCCCTCAGGGCAGGGGGTGGCCTGACCCACTGGGCAGGTGCCCAAGGAAAACAGATAAGCAATCTCAGGCAGGAGCCTGAGCCCGTGCGCGTGCCCACACTTCTGATCTAGAACGTATGTGCCTCCGGCCGTCTGCGAGTGCTCTCCCCGAGTCCGTGTGTCTGTCTGCGCCTGCATGCGTGTCTTTGTGTCCCTGCCTGTCTGCCTGTGTGTGTCCACTGTGACTTAGCTGGCATGCTGGCCTGGGCTCCGGGCGGAGCGGAGTTCCGGAAGGCCACTGGGAGGCCAGGAATGGTTCTCAGTCCCTGAGTCCCCACCCACCGGCCACCGCACCTCTGTGACCCTCCTGCTCCACCTGCAGGGGACATACCTGCTGAGGACGGAGACACTGGGCCCTGACAGGACAAGCCACCAGGAGAGGCCGCCGAGCGGGCCTTCAGAGCTAGCCGCAGTGAGGTCTCTGGCAGCTAGGCAGCCAGAGCCAGTGACCAACAGCTGGGACTTCCCAGCTGCAGCCAGCAACCCGCCACTGCCTTGCCCCCTGCCCTCCCCCCAGCCCTCGTCCCCCCCTGCTTTCACTTTCAGAAACATTCCAGCCCTTCCTTCCCAGCGCAATCTCTCCAACCTTTGAGTCCAGCAAGCCCAGGCCTCAGGCTGAGGTTCAAGGCCCAGGAGGCGGGCTCCGGAGCAGTGGACGCCGCTGGGGACAGCTCTCCCTGCCAGCTCCTCCTGCGGTCAGCCCCGGGCCAGCGGGGGACCCCAGCCCACTGCTCCCTCCAGGATAGAGGTGCCAGCACCAGGCCTGTCCGCCAGGCTCACCCCAGGGGCCCTGCCTGAGAGCCAGGAGAGCAGAACCGTGGGCTCGGCTGGCAGGGTGGGGGGCACGGTGACAGCACTGGGTGCCCTGTGAGCCACGCGCCAGCACAGAGGGTGCAGGAGCTGGAAGGGGAGGCTCCAGGGCCGAGGAGGCGGCTCCCTGGGCAGGGAGGGGTCCACCTGGGAGCCGTGCGTGGGGAAGGCCCGCTCCTCCCAGGCTCAGGCTGAAGAGCTTTGTGGGAGGGTCACTGAGACTTCCCAGAAGAAGCCGACCCACCCTGCTGCGGGGGATTCCGCCAGGAGCGGCCCGGAAAAAACTTAGGGAAAGTCCAGGGAGGACAGATCCAGGCCTGTCCCCCCGGGCGGGAGCCACCAGGGCGGCCACAAAGCGGGTGCCGGGAGAACAGACAGGCTGCGGGCTGGTGTCCGAAGGCCCTCCAGCACAGACAGTTATTTCTCCCCGCTCTGGAGGCGGGAGGGTGGGCCCCAGGTGTGCGCAAGCTGGTGTCTCCCGAGGCCTCTCCCCTCGGCTTGAAGGTGGCCGTCCTCTTCCCGTGTCCTCGCGTGGCCTTCCTTCCATACGTGTCTGTGTCTCCTCTTCTGATAAGGACACTGGTCTCGTGGGGTTCGGACCCCCTGCTGGCCTCACTGTAACGGAAGCATGCCTAGAGACCCGCTTCAAGTGCAGGCGCCTCCTGAGTGACGGAGACTGTCATGAGAGCGAGATCCAGCCAGAGCAGATTGCAAGGCACCTGGGCTGCCGGAGCGCCTCTGCCATCGCAGGAGGGCCCAGTCGGGGGCAAGTTGCCAGTACCTTCCCCGGGAAGCCCTCTGTTTACCATGGAGCCGTGAGCCGCCTGGGCCCTGGGTTCCCCTCTGTGAAGTGGGGTCGTAAGAGTCCCAGCTCAAGCCCCCGGGGCACCCAGCTGGCCTCCCATTGCCTGCATCTCTCAGTCAGAGGCGGACAGATGGGGGGGCACACACAATCCCAGAGGCTCGAGGTGACCTCCCCGGGCGGCTCAGCGGGGGTCCTGGGGCAAGTCTGTCCTGCTGGGTGCCCTGTGGGCAGGTGACCGCTGCCCATGGGACACTGGCACACTGACTCAGACAAGCACAGGGACCTGCCCACGGCCACACAGCTGGCGAGAGACCAGGCCTCCAGCCTAGGTGTCCGCCTGGGAAAACGGGGCCTCCCCTGGGGGACCTCAGTCTGACCCTCCTGCTCCCTCGCTCACAGGGCGCGTCCTGGGACCTCCACCCAACAGACAGGTCCCTGCAAAGCTGGTGGTGCCCAGGGCCTGGGATGGCGCCTGCGCTTCTCCACAAGTCCCAGCTGCACCCACATCTGCCCAGCCCGAGGCCGGCCTTCAGCCAGAGGCTGTAACGCGCCTTCTATTCCATTTCCACGTTGCTTCCCAGCATTCTGAGTGGAATCCTCCGGCAAAGCCGCGGGTCTCAGGGGAGCCTCCGGCCAGGGCTGGGCTGGCTGGTCGGGGAAGCAGGCAGAGGTCGCAGTCCGAGGCTGGGCTGAGCCCTTGGGAGAGGCCCTTCTGACTCTGAGCCCTGTACTCCGCCATAAAGCGGGGCTGCTGTGGGTCCAATGGGTTCGCCTCCGTGGAGGGCCTGGTCCCAGGGGGAAGGGCAGGACACGGCCCCGCAGCGCCTGTGCCTGTCTGACCTCGTGTTCCTGGGAAGCCAGGCTCTCCCCGCAATGCAGAGGCCACGCGGCAGATCCCACCCGCCCTGCCGCCGGCTCGGGGCGGAGACGGGCTGAGGGCGGGAGGCCTGGGCTCCATCCTCGGCCCCTAACCGTCTGCGGACCTTGCGGAGCTTCCCTCTCCCCAAGGTGGACACCGCAAACACGAGGAGGCCCATCCGGGAGCCCAGGGGGCG